TGACACACCTGACATTTCTATTTTCACACTATGGTTCGCTTACAAAGCCTACATGAGAGATATCCTCATACAATTAAACTCCCGCATCAAAAAACAAGGAACCCAACAAATTGACCAACTCCTTGCATCTATTAAACTAAAAGAAGACCAAAACAAAAAAAATCCCAACCCCTCCACATCTTCCTCTCTCACCTCAGATAGAAATAAGCTAACAGCCCTTCTACTATATAAATATGATATCAACCTGCAAACATACCCTATTTAGGAATTAAACTCACCGCAACAATAGACCAATTATACCCTGCAAATCATAAATTACTACTTGAATATATTCCACAAGAAATCTCAGCACTCCGTACATCAACACTCTCCAAACTGGGACGAGTAGTGAAAATGAAAATGTTCATATTACCAAAAATTCTATACATATTATTCCGCAGTCTTCCTATTCCCATTCCCAATATCTTCTTCTCTAAACTACAAACAGTCTTCTTTAAATTCCTCTGAAATTCGAAAAAACCCAGATGTACTACAAATCTACTATTACGTCCAACATCCAAAGGAGGAGCAGGCCTTCCACACTTAAAATCGTACTACAATGCGACTCTTCTTGACCAAATATACTTTTGGTGGCACCCAACAAAAGAAAAATTATGGTCTACCATGGAAACACTCCCATTGCTCCCACTTTTACCTCGAAACATACTCTTCGCACTGCAAATACCCCAAACCAAATACCTACTTAAACACCCTTGGATCCAAGCCTCTCTCCAAGCCTGGTACAACCTTACAACTACTAAATTTAAAAATACCAAACACATACCCACCCCAATTAATATACTACACCTCATCACTCCATCCCTAACTCCATTACCATGGGAAAAATTCCGGCCTAACCGACATAAAAGATCTCTACACAAATCACAATTTGGAATCGTTCCAGACTCTCCACGATAAATTTAATCTACCCGCAACCGAATACTTCACTTACCTGAGAATAGCTCACTGCTTACGAACAATAAATATTCCTCATTTTATGAAAGTTCCTACCACCGCATACCAATTTTTTAACAAAACAAAATATCCAGGTAAAGGTATCTCTACCTTTTACACACTAATAGTAGACTCACTATTCACCCTACAATCTTCCTCCTTAATTAACTGGGAAAAAACTCTCCTACAGCCAATACCTCCACACTTGTGGGAAAAAACCTTCACCATCACCTATAGAGCCTCATGATGTAGTTCTCATTGGGAATCATACCTAAAAATACTACATCAATGGTATTTAACACCCGTTAAACTTTCACTATATTATCCACAACACTCCTCCTCCTGTTGGAGACAATGCGGAGAAATAGGATCAACGCTCCATACACTATGGACATGCAAATCACTCAAATTCTTCTGGAATAGCGTCTTCCAAATGCTCTCAACATTAGCTAAAACTCCAATAACCCCAAACACTGCTCTAGCATTTCTCCATATTGGAATCAACTATTTCCCTGGAGACTCCCGTACCATTATTATCCACACATTATCGGCAGCTAAAATAAACATAACTAAATTATGGAACAGTACTAAATCCCCTTCTCTTACTTCCCTGATAACAGACCTTAACTTCCAATGCGATATGGAAAAAAGATCTGCCCTAAACAATTCTACCTATCATACATTTAATGGGTTTTGTAACCATTGGTCTTGATGGTTGCAAAACCCAAACTGCTCCGTAAAATTCTGATAAATTCACTATAAAATACCTTGATCCATCTGCCTAGACTGGTGCACCTACCCTTCCCTCTCCCCTTTCCCACCTCCCCTATTTCCCTACTCCTTGTTCTCCACCCCCTATAGATCTCTTCTACAACCTTACGTGGTTCAGAATATACTGAGCATACCTCTCATGGCAACGCCACTTATTCTAGTATTACCCCCAGCCAAATGGTGGGGAAAATATTATTTTGTTTACTTTCCTGTACTGCATTATTTCTAACTGAACCGTATAAAGTATAGCAAAAAAAATGGCGTAAATTGCAGTATCTATTCCATAGTTTGTAGACGCTGTAACTTTCACACAAAGCAATCAATATACATTCATTGGGATTTTTTTTTATCAAAAACATGTAGCAGAATACATTTTGGCCTGAATTTATAACTAACTTTGAATTTACTATATATTATTTATAGCTGAAAGTAAAAAATATTGTTTTTCTTCAACATTTTCCATCTTCTTTTGTTTATAGTGTGAAAAATAAAAAGCGCACAGGTGATCAAATACCGCCAAAATAAAGCTCAATTCATGGGAAAAAAAGGACTGAAATTTAATTTGGGTGCAGTGTTGCACGACCGTACAATTGAAAAAAAGGTCATAAATTTTGTTTATGTACAGCATTGCATGACCATGGCAAGTGGTTAAAGGAATTGGACATTTTTAATATTGCACTTTAAGCGCATAAATAATTACTACTCTTGAATTTTTAATTTGATATATTTCAGCTCTCTTTGAAGATTGCCGAACCCTGCTTGAACCAAATTCAGGGCAGTTTGGCTCATCACTACTATTTACCCATCATCATGGTGGACTGCCTCATTGGTCAACAGGAGTGTGTAGAGGTGGAAGGAAGCTGTCAAGCTTTGACACTATCCAGAAGTGTCAGAGATTTGCCTGTTCAGAACAGTAGAATGATCAGTGAGAGTCAATGCAGGTACTGCATGTGCATTCAACTGTAAGTGGCAGCAATTGACACAGGTTAGTAACCTTTTTAAGTGACAGATGCTCTTTAAAACAACCAATCAAAAGAAGGCCTAAAAAATTAACTACCCAACTTAATTTTTGTCTTTAAAGTGCCAACTTATTACTAAAGTAATGTGCAGCCCAGCTGCATGACATATACATGGAAGCAGAAGAGCAGCTATGGCTAAATCTATCCATTCTGGTTAAATAAAAATTTGGACTAAAGATCCTTGCAATGGAGGAGCATATATGCTCACCTATTTGGTGGCACATATTTCAACCTTTGTTACAGACATGCAGCCTTTATCAGTCTTTATGGCATTCAGCACCTTTGGGAAAGTTAGGTGTCCTCAATCACATACTGTGGTTTCTTCCGCTAACTTCATGTTACTACAGAAGTCAGCAGGTATTTAAGGATTGAGAGATGCACCCATGGCGCCTGGGGGGTGGGCAGGGTTGGTGACTATGTATTCAGCTGTTTGCATGGAAATCAGATTCAAAATAAAGTGAAAAAAGTATGAGGGTTTAATAAAGAGTAAATACCGGTATGTATATCTGAAAAGTATTTAAGGAATCACGCACTGCTAAAGTAAAAAGGAAATCAACTACCAAGAACAAGAAGCATGCAGAAATAATGACATACATTTCCAGCATTGTGAAAACTGTCTGCTATTGAGCATTCACTCCTGCTTGTTTCCCAGAATATTTGTTTGGTGAAACAAAAACATTTAAATATTACATTCAGCATTTAATGTGCATCCTCTAGGATACTTGCCAAGGATGTATTGGTACTAGATCTGCTGTAACATTTTCTCTCGATAGCCAGCTTTTCATAATTTTCATTCTCACTAAAGAAGGTGCATTTGGAGTGCATTGTGAAGAGATATATAGTGTTTACTGATGAGATATATGTTATGTGCTAGATTATGCAACAGGGACGTGCTGAAGCTATTATCTCCTCCTCATGGTTGGGGAGAGAAAAACCCCAATTCACTCAATGCAGCAGAAAAGCATTAGTCCCAGATACACAAAGTATATCGCAAACTGAGAACACAAAATACTGGACTAGTGACAGTGGGATTGGTTTACAAAAGACAAATAGACTGTTCACTTTGCAATGGAATTTGGCCCAGAGTTGAGTGAATGTAGTGACATTTCACTTTGCAAAGAATATGCAATCACATGCAAGTCAACAGAGCTTCACCTCATTCACTAAGCTATGGGGAACAGTCAGGGATTCCCCCTGATGAAGCCACGTGACCGGTGGCGTAATGCATAGGGGAGGGACTTTGATGTCGCAACGCTCGATGGTTCCATACTGATCACAGCTGGCAATTTTAGGTTTTTCACCACTGAAAAAAATCTGGAGGATACATTTTGTGCACAAGGCAGTTTATATACAGATTATATGTGAGTGCATTACTTTTATTAATAAAACGGTTTGAAAAGGATATCACACTTTGATCTGATTATTACTCTATATTAACCACCATGGAAGGAGAGCCTATGAGTTGAATAAAGGAGGACCCCAAACAGCAAGATACCATCTCATCCATACTTTGGCCCATTTAAAGGGACACAAGTGTTATATGACCTTACTTAACGGTTTGGTCATATACTTGAGGTTGGAGCACAACCTGTGGGGGAGCACACTAATGCAAGTTTTTTCACACAAAATAATCAATTAAGAACATGGGATATTTATTTTTTATTTTATTTTATTCGAAGTGAACTATGCATATTTCACGAAGTAGATATATTGACCTTTTTTCTGACTTTTTTTTACTTTTCTTTTCGATATTGATATTGATTGATTCATTCCATTTATTTTAATTATTATTTTGACACGTATTATTAATAGCAGCACTAGGATGTACCGTATTTTTCGCTCCATAAGACGCACCTGACCATAAGACGCACCTAGGTTTTAGAGGAGAAAAACAAGTAAAAAAAATATTCTGAACCAATGGACTGAAGACACAGTACAGGAGATGACCAGAGAGTGCAGACATAGCACAGGAGATGACCAGAGAGTGCAGACATAGCACAGGAGATGACCAGAGACTGCGAACATAGTACAGGAGATAACCAGAGACTGTGAGTATAGTACAGGAGATGACCAGTGACTGCGGACATAGTACAGGAGATGGCCAGAGACTGAAGACATACTACAGGAGATGACCAGAGACTGCAGACACAGTACAGGAGATGACCAGAGACTGAGGAAACAGTACAGGGGATGACCAGAGACTACGGACACAGTACAGATGACCAGAGACTGTGGACATAGTACAGGAGATGACCAGAGGCTGCAGACAGTAAAGGGGATGACCAGAGACTGCAGCCATAGTACAGGGGATGACCAGAGACTGCAGACACAGTACAGGAGATGACCAGAGACTGCAGACACAGTACAGGAGATGACCAGAGACTGCGGACACAGTATAGAAGATGACCAGAGACTGCGGACATAGTACAGATGACCAGAGACTGCAGACACAGTAAAAATGACCAGAGACTGCAGATAGTACAGGAGAAGACCAGAGACTGCAGACAGTACAGGGGATGACCAAGAGACTGCAGACAGTACAGGGATGACCAAGAGACTGCAGACAGTACAGGGGATGACCAAGAGACTGCAGACAGTACAGGGGATGACCAAGAGACTGCAGACAGTACAGGAGATGACCAGAGACTGCAGATAGTACAGGGGATGACCAGGAGACTGCAGACAGTAAAGGGGATGACCAAGAGACTGCAGACAGTACAGGGGATGACCAGAGACTGTGGACCTTTGGGGAGGGAGGGGGAGCGGGTACCTGAATTTGACAGGTACCCGCTCCGACTTCCACGGAGTTGTCTTCCCTTTAGTGTGGTCACCCAGCTGTGACAGGTCCCAGAAGATGTCGGGCCATTCACAAATTGCAGCGCTTCTCGCACATGAGCAGTGGGCACCCGGCTGTCACAGCCGGGTGCCCACACTAAAGATGCTGGTGCGGGAAGACTGTACAGTGCTGGACTGAAGAACAGGTAAGGTCCTGCTGCAGAGAAGAGCTGAGTGGCCGGCCCGGTATTCTGACACAGTGTCGGCGGTGGAAATACCGGACCGGCCGCTCCATATTTGCTACATAAGAAGCTACATTTGCTACATTTGATATGTGTTTATTGATATATTTATATTTGATATGTGGTTCCAAATGGTGCGCATCTACGGTATTTGTTTCCAAATGGGCACACCTTTCTCCCCAATGTTTGAATGAGGGGCTGGATCTCCATATCATTGTGTGACTTACTATGGTCAACCTCTCTATTTATTTATATTTACTCTTTATTTGATATGCATTCTCTTACGTATTTCCAAATGCTTATGTGTCCTTCTATCATCATTAGTATTATTATTATCTTTTCTTATGATATTATTTTTATTTGTTACTATTTGCATACATTTATTACCTTCATGCGTTTTTTTTTCCTATCCGAAGGATTTGTAGTAAGCTCATCTGATATATGATTTAAGTTATTATTGTGTAAAAAATTGATCTTTGTTTTTAATATTTTTTTAAATTAGTTTTAGAGGTTTCTCGCTATAGAGGGGTTAATATATGTGGGTGGCTATTAAGGGTGACACACTCCCCCGGCTCCTCCTATATATATTTTGATTGCCGGTTACTAATCCCATGATCTGAGGAAGGGGCAAGTCCCTAAAACATGTTACCATGACGAATTTTCTCCTTTGGTTTGACATGGTTTGAGTGCTCCCCTAGGCTTACAGTTTGCCCTCACCAGCCCTTGTTTGGGCAGTCTCTCGCCAGGTGCATGACACAGCAGCTGGATCTGGGAGACGTGACTTTTGGCGGACGCGTACTCTTAGTTATCCCAGCGGTTGCCATCCACACACCCTTCACGCTGTCCTGAGGCTCCTGAGCTGAGCAACCTACTGTTGGGTCCAGGATCATGTGTCATCCTCCAGCTTCTGGGAATATGTGTTTCTCCTCTCCACTGGCTTGGTAATGTGTCAGTCTGGGCATTCCCAAATGTCATGCTTTTTAACCCAATATTAAAGTGAATTTTGAATTTAACTGTTCCTGGGCTTGTGACTCTTGACTTCCACAGGGTTGGGAACTCTCCTTTTATTTGTTCTTTATTTTGTGCTCATGTATCATTGCTGGTCAGATGAGTTGTTGGAGCTGTTCATACTGTAGTTATCTACATATATCCCCAGGAACCTCATTGTGCTTGGTATTTCCTTTTCATTGTACATGCAAAGTCACTTTGGTCAAAGCTGGACCAATGTAACTTTGTAAAAATCACCAATACCTGGAACCTTTCTTTAAAATAATATTGCTTTACTGGCAATATTTAAATATTAAAATGTTGGATGCAAAAACTATGAACATTGGAAAGTAATGTTCAGAATGCTGGCAAAATACCTATATTTTAACTGCTTGACCTTCAGAAGGTTTTACCCCCTTCATGTCCAGAATATTTTTGCTATTCAGCTCTGTGCTATTTTAACTGGCAATTGCTTGGTCATGCAATACTATACCTAAATTTATTTTTTTTTGCCACACAAATAGAGATTTGTTTTTGTGGTATTTAATCACTACTAGGTTTGTTAGCTTTTGTTATATAATCGAAAATATACCAAAAATTATAAAAAAAAGTTTCTTAGTTTCTTTTCTAAAATCTTTTTTCATAAATGTAGACCAAAATGTAGTCTGCTACATTTATTTGGTAAAAAATAACCCAAACAATTGTATATTGTTTAGTCTGCGTGAAAGTTATAGAGTCTACAATGGTATATATACTGTGTGTGTGTAGATATATATATACAGTGGGGATCGAACGTTTGGGCACCCCAGCTAAAAATTTGTATTAATGTGCATAAAGAAGCCAAGGAAAGATGGAAAAATCTCCAAAGGCATCAAATTACAGATTAGACATCTCATAATATGTCAACAAAAGTTAGATTTTATTTCCATCATTTCATTTACACTTTCAAAATAACAGAAAACAAAAAAATGGCGTCTGCAAAAGTTTGGGCACCCTGCAGAATTTATAGCATGCACTGCCCCCTTTGCCAAGCTGAGACCTGCCAGTGTCATGGAAATCATCATCTGGGAAGACCAGGTGATGTCAATCTCAAAGGTTTTAAATGCCCAGACTCATCTGACCTTGCCCCAACTATCAGCACCATGGGTTCTTCTAAAACAGTTGTCTAGAAAACTGAAACTGAAAATAGTTGACGCTCACAAAGCTGGAGAAGGCTATAAGAAGATAGCAAAGCGTTTTCAGATGTCAATATCCTCTGTTCGGAATGTAATTAAGAAATGGCAGTCATCAGGAACAGTGGAAGTTAAAGAAAGATCTGGAAGACCAAGAAAAATATCAGACAGAACAGCTCGCAGGATTGTGAGAAAAACAATTCAAAACCCACGTTTGACTGCACGATCCCTCCAGAAAGATCTGGCAGACACTGGAGTTGTGGTACACTATTCCACTATAAAGAGATACTTGTTTTATGGTCTTCATGGAAGAGTCATCAGAAGAAAACCACTTCTACGTCCTCACCACAAATATTTTTTGAACTTTGCAAATGAACATATAGACACGCCATGCATTTTGGAAACAAGTTCTGTGGACCGATGAAGTTAAAATTGAACTTTTTGGCCGGAATGAGCAAAGGTAAGTTTGGAGAAGAAGGGGCACAGAATTTAATGAAAAGAACCTCTGTCCAACTGTTAAGCATGGGTTTGGATCAATCATGCTTTGGGGTTGTGTTGCAGCCAGTGGCACAGGGAACATCTCACGAGTAGAAGGAAAAATGGATTCAATAAAATTTCAGCAAATTTTGGATGGTAACTTGATGCCATCTGTTAAAAAGCTGCAGTTTAAAGAGAGGATGGCTGCTACAAATTGATAATGATCCTAAACACGCCTCGAAATCCATGGCGGATTACATAAAGAGGCGTAAACTGAAGGTTTTGCCATGGCCTTCACAATCTCCTGACCTCACATAATTGAAAATCTATGGATAGACCTTAAAAGAGCAGTGCGTGACAGACAGCCCAGAAATCTCAAAGAACTGGAAGACTTTTGTAAGGAAGAATGGGAAAAGATACCTCAAACAAGAATTGAAAGACTCTTGGCTGGCTACAAAAAGCGTTAATGATGGAAATAAAATCTAACTTTTGTTGACATATTATAAGAATGTCTAATCTGTAATTTGATGCCTTTTGGAGATTTTTCCATCTTTCCTTGGCTTCTTTATGCACATTAATACAAATTTTTAGCTGGGGTGCCCAAACTTTCGATCCCCACTGTATATATATATACAGCGTGTGTGTGTGTGTATATATATATATATATATATATATATTTGAAAATTGATCAAACCTCACCTTTTTTAAAAGTAGGCAGTCTGAGGTAGTTATTAAATGGCATGGGGAGTTTTTTGTGGTTGTAATTGTTTGTCACAATTTTTGTAAAATTACAAAATTAAATAACATTTTTTTCACCATTTTGTTTTTACATACTGTCACCAGTGCAGTACAGCATCATCACATGACTGATGTGGTGGGAATCAGGGATACTGACTGGGGACATTCAATAGTTTTTCATTAAATTTTTTTAAATGTTTTACTTTCTTACTTACTGTTTTTTTTTTACATACGGTCATCTGAGTAGTTCAGTGTCAACATAGTGACACTGTACTACTCTGTGGGGGGGGGGGGGCGCGGGGGTATGAAGGTTGGGGTGATCAAGGATTTTTTTTTACTCTGTTATTGCTAATAAGTCATGAGCAATAGTTTTAACTGTCATGAATGGCTTTCATTTATGGCAGCTTGCTTACTATTGTGATGCTGTGATTGGCTACAGCTAATTGCATGGTACAGGGTCCCAGGTACCATGTGACAGCTGTGGGCCAATCACAGCATCATAATAGTAAGAAAGCTGTCATTAATGGAAGCTATTCATGACAGTTTTGTTTACATTGTAATCATGTGATCATTATGATTGATAACATTCACATGATTCTACTCACAGTGACTGAGTACTGAGCACTGGGATCCACTGTGTCCCCCCCGGGGGTGCTCTAGTGCGCATGTGCCAAGTAATGTATGGGAACACTGCGGTGCCTATAGCAAATGTATTGTGGGTGGGCAGCAAGTGGTTAATGCAGTGAATGTGACATTTACCAAACATTTAAGTGCAGGTGTATCTTCATGGTGCATCTATTTTAAATGTCACATTAATATGCCCCTTAGTCTTGTTGATTGACAATATGTACGTTATACAAGACTTCATTCTATAGACCTATAGATAGGGGTTAGGTAAGTTTTATTTTGTGCATTTTCATAATCAAAAGATCTTTGGGTTTACATTTTGGGACAGCATGCTTATATTTTCAGCACCCTGCACTGCAGGCATCAAGCTGTTAGCAAGAAGACCTGCTGTGCTGGCCAATAATGGAGGAGGAATTGGACATCTAGAGCTGTAAAGTGCAGAGTTTAGCAACTTTATCTCCTCACTGGCCCCTTACCTGGGTGGAGCTTATTCATAGCCAGGAGGATTTTGTAAGATCTACTATGGAAGAGGAGACATGCTTAATGGAGATGATATATCTTCTCCTGACAGAAATTTGAAGTAAATAACTACAACTAATTGGAAGGGAGATTCACTGAGTAGTCATACACATTGTTTGTGAAGTCTAGCCTGGGCTCTGATAGCCCATCAAGTGTAAATTAGTAGCCCATCCCTGTATGGATATCCTGTGTGGGAATTTTCCCCCCACCTTTTTTTGTATAATTGTTTTTGTTGAAAATTTTTAAATAAACATACAATGATCAGTTTACAATCGTATAAGTTTTAAAGCAGGTGGGCAAATGTGCATCAGCCTAAACCTCAGTACCAAGCTCATAATGAACCATGGCATTAAACTTGATCATATATCTGTGTGTTAACTGGGATATGTTCCCCAAAACTATGGCAGGGCATATGCAAAATTGAAAGGACCCTCCCTGTCCCTAAGATCCTACTCATCTGGTAGCTCATGGGAAAAATAAATCCACCCAGGCCAAACATCATGAAATTTCTCTAGGGGGTATTATGTGCTGCATGAACCCAATGTTCAGC